ATGCAGCTCCACCTCCCAGAGTCTCGACCTCTTCGGTGGGAGAGGAGGGACCAGGAGGGGGTCTCTACCTCACCGAGCTGGAGCCGGGTTAGTTAAAAGGTAATACCAGCAAAGTGCGCCCCCCCACACCCCCGCACCTGGCCCACGAACGCATGTCCCCTGTGTCCCTGGTTCTTCGTCACCATCTTTGTCTGCAATAGTTATGAGTGGAAACTACCAAAACATGTTGTTGCATTTTCTCTTATTTTATAAAAATGAGCTGGAAAATGCAAGGGCAGAACCATGAGCCAAAAGGGAGGAGGGCTGGGTGTCGTCAGGGTAACGTGGCCGAGGGCAGACATCACGAGACCCACCAAAGAGCCACAGATCCTGACGCTCCTCTGGACGTGCTCCAGATGAATTCCGGACAACCAGGGTGGAAACCGTGAAGCGAAATGACAAAACTGAAACACACGCAAAATCCCTAAAAAGACAAGGGGATTTTGTTTTCCCGCTTTGGGGGAAGAGCCAGCCCCATTACGACGTTCAAGTCTGTGAGACATTCACACCCTCCCTGCCCATGAGTTTTCTTCAGGAATATATATGTCGAAAGGCAGGGATTCCTGTCACAGGATGTGCCCCCTCCCCGGCACAGAGGAAGGGATGACCAGCAACCAGTGGAAGCTGGCTTCACAATGCAGTAATATTTGGGGCTGACCTGAAAGAGCGACAAGGTCACATGCTGGAGAAGGGGTCCTCTCGCCCCCAGCCATTCCCAAGCCCTTTCTCCCCTGCCTGCCTCTCATCATAGAGGCTAAAAAGCCATGTGCTGATTTTCCTAGCAGGTCTTATAGCCAGAAGAAGCCATGGGACCATGTTCTGGCCAATGGTATACAAGGCAAAATCTGCAGGGGGCCTCCAGGCCTTCCTCCCTGATAAAAGGCGTGAAGTCCTGGAGAAGAGCACTCCCTCGCCACCCTCACTGTGCTTCCCATCACATACACACCCTCTCCCTTCCCACTTGGAGATGTGGCCCTGTGAAGACATGGAACCTGGGGCAGTGGCAGCCATCTTGTCACCATGAGGGTGATGCCTGGAGCTGTGGCAGCTATGTTGTCACCATGAAGAGGATCAGAGGCAACTCAGGGCCTGGAGTCTGACCCTGTGGCTAAATAAACCTGCAAACACCATTCCTGGTCTTCTTTTTAGGTAAACTCTAATCGGTCTTATGGTTTAAGCCTCTGGGGGTTAGGCTTTCTGATACCTGCCGCTAAAGGCATTTCTAAAGGATACAAGGTCCTGCCTAATAAGGAGCTCCAAACAACAAGCACACTTTGCTTCTAGAAGCCAGCCCAGGAATGGGAGTAAATTCCCATTTAGGCAAATGGGAGGCCACAGTTCAGGCCATGGCACCTCCCAAGCCGGGGGTACCAGCCTCTCGCCACCTAGGCTGCATTCCAAGGCACGTCTGTTCCAAAGCCTCCCTTCCGTCTCCAGCCCTGTGAGCTCCTGCCCCGTGCCCAGTACTGAGCCTGGCACTGGTGTGACAGCTGGGGACAAGACACGAGGTCACCGCTAGCAGGGGACAGACGTCTGCCCAGTGCCCACAGTTCACTAACTACTTATTTAACTGTGACAAAGGAAGAGATGTCAGACGCGGAAAAAGCATGCAACGGGGGAGCCAGCCTGGGGGATAGGAGAGGACCTCCCCAAGGACGTGACATTTAAACTGAGACCCCGAGGACACACTGATCTTCTTCCACTGGCTGAGGCCGTACAGGTCGGGGGGAGGTCTCTCCAAGCCTCAGTTCCCACCTCTGTGAAATGGGGGTCCTGGCGGGCCTCCCTCGCTGGGTCGGTGTGGGGCTTCAGTGCGGTGACACGGCGAAGCGAGGCCTGACTGTGTTAAGTGCTCGGCAGATGTGAGCTAGGACATTACTCTTCAGGGTGAAAGGGAGCCTGTTGGCCCCTCGTGACAGGCTAATTGGAGAAACAGCTTTTGCCAGAGTGTCTTCGGGCTCTGGGGGACCGTGGAGTGGCGGGAGCCGGCCCTCCTGTTTGACACTTGGGAAATGAGAGGTACCCCTCGGGCACTGCTCGCAATGAGACCCAGGATGTGGGGAGACAAAGCCCCAGGCCCGGGGCAGGCAGGCTGAGAGGGAAAGCAGGGGCCAAGCCAGGCCAACAGGAGGTCAGGAGTCAGGGGTCAGATTGGAGAGCCCAAGGCTGGGAGGGGCAGAGGGTCCTGGGATTGGAGTCAGACAGACCCAGGTGGGCTCCTACCCCGGGCCCCAGTCCCCCCCACCAGTGATGCTCACACCTCCGTGGCCCTTCCGGTCTGCCTTCAGTTTCAGGAAAAAGTCTTGAGGCCAAGGCCAGGGGCGGAGGCAGCCCCCAAGACATGCTGGAACCCCACGGCCGGCCTGTGGCCTCCCCCATTCGCTGTCTGCCTCTCACACCCTGGACTACAAGAGGTCAAGAGAAGGCTGGGAAAAGGTCATTCCCTCTGGGGTTGTCAGATTTAGCAAATAAACACATAGGATGCCTAGTTACAACTGAATGTCAGATAAACAAATAAAATGTTTAGGGCAAGCATGTCCCATGCGGTATTTGGGACATACTTACACTAAAAAATTATTCACTGTTTATCTGAAATTTAAATTAAACTGGATGTGCTCTATTTTATGTGGCAACCCTAATCCCGTGATGTCCTTATGTGATGCCCTCCCTTCAGATCCATCCGTGGCTCCCCAGTACCTTAGGCCAAGGTGCAGCCTGTTGCACACGTGACAGCAGAGGCCTGCGTGGGGTGGCTCCTGCCTGTGGCAGGAGAAGGCAGTGGAGCCCAGCCGACATGAACACGACCCCTCCGTGCCAGGCCCCATGCTGGGGACTGGGGACCCTCCCATTGTGGCTACCCGAGGTCCTCTCCATGAATCCTGTCCCTATCAGAGACTTCAGACTAAAAGGCATTTCTTTTTGGTTTTTGGTTTTGGGCTTTTTCCCCTGCCTCCTCCCCATTTCCTCTCCTTCACGGGTGGAAAACCCCTGATTTCAGATCAAAAGGACCCAAAAATTCACATGGCATTTCAAGTTGAACCCGCAGCTGAACCACGGACTTCAGAGAGTTCCCCAGAGCATCTCCGGGCAGAGCGGCCTGGGCCTCGCCCCAGCCTTCACCCTGGAGGCAGAGAGAGGGAGCAGGAAAGACACCCGCTTTCCAGAATCCCTGGAAAAGAAGGGACTAGCATTTACGGGGTGCCACACTCACACCCAGTCATTTAAGACTTGCTCCAGGTAGCCCTTCCTCACCACCACCACAGAAGCGGCCAGGTCCCCAAGTGACACGCATCCCGAGCACCCTGCGCCTTCCCGGCCTGGGGCAGATCTGTTTCGGTTACGTATTTGGGGACTGGTGTGCTCAGGGTCTGTCTCCCCGTTGCCGGGCCCCGTCAGCCTCACTGCTATTCCCCAGCACCCAGCACAGCACCTGGCGTCCAGTAGATGCTCAGCAAATATTTGTGGCGTGGAGGGAGGAGGAGGAGGAGGTTCATGAGCTCCTGAGAGCAGGTGCCTTGCGCAGCTGGCTCGCTGCTCTGTCCTGTGGGTTCCGTGCAATGGGAACGCGTGCTCTGGGAAGGTGTGCTGAAGCAACAAGGCTCCCTCCGTCAGCACCATGAAATTAGTTCCTAGAATTTAACCCACAAACCATCAAGAAACCGCAAAATCTGGCTCACTTGTTTCTCCTCCCCCTCCTGAGATGGTGGCCCTCGCCGGGCCCATTGCATAGATAAGGAAGTAGAGAGCCCCCTACTTCCTCATCACAAAAGGCAAACCTAAACCCAGGTATTTTTTTTTTTTTTACAGATTTTATTTATTTATTTTTTACAGATTTTAATTAATTTATTTATTTATGTGAGAGAAAGAGAGTGAGCGAGCAAAAGAGAGAGAGAGCACGAGCGGGAGAAGGGGCAGAGGGAGAAGCAGGCTCTCCATTGAGTGGGGAGCCCCGACACAGGGCTCGATCCCAGGACCCTGGGATCATGATCTGAGCCGAAGGCAGACGTTCAACCAACTGAGCCACCCCGGCGCCCCCAAAGCTGGGTATTTAGATATACATCAAGCTCTAAAGAAAGGCAGGGAAGTGATTTCTTCCAGAGTTAAGATGGGGGTTACCAGTAAGGGGAAAAAGGGGGTATGAGCAGTAAGGGATACATGGGGAGCTTCTCAGTGCTGGTAGCAACACTCTAAGTAAATTGACATCTCCGTGTGTGTGTGTATGTGTGTGTGTGTGTGTGTGAAAGAGAGAGAGAGAGAGAGAGAGTCCATGACCTCTCTAAAAACTTTGCCTGTGCCTGTCAGACTGTTCCTTTACAACCTGCCCCTCCTCTGAAGGACCTCTAAATGTCTGCTCCTTGGAGCTCTGGCCTGGGTGCTCTCCACACACACACACACACACACACACACACACACACTGATCCCCTGCCTGGCTGGCTTCAGCCTCATCCACGCAGTGCCCACTCCTAGTCTATCCCCAGCCCTGGCTTGCCCAGCTGTCCATCGAACAGCACGAGCTTCTTAGGGCCACCAGGACTACCAAGCTGAGACCTGAGGATCCAGTACCACCAGCAAGGCAACCAGGTCAAGGAAGAGTATTCTAGGAGAGGAAACAGCATGTGCTAAGGCCCTGGGGCTGTCATGAGCCTGACCCATTCCAGGAACTCCAAGTAGCTCCTCATGGCAGAGAGGGGGACTCAAAGTAAGTGAAACTGTGCAGGGGCATGATCTGTAGGGCCACAGGGGCACAAATGCCTGTGGGCATCTGACTCTAGACCCCCCCCCCCAGTTTCCCCACAGGTACCAACTCATACAGGTCTCCTGCCTGCTCCCAAGTGGGGTTTATAAAGCCTCTGCCCCACCCTGTCGCTGCCAGAACTCCCCCCTCCTCCGTCCTTCTTCCTTCCTACCCCCATCCTCACCCTTCCTCTCCCTCTGCCCCCTTCCTCCTCCCTCTCTCCCTCCCGTGTGCACACATTACTCATCTCAACAGGGAAGACAGGACCAGCACACGTTCTTCCCACCCCATCAGCTGGCGGAGCAGACCGGACAGCCCAGGACCCTGGGAGCCAGGAAGTATGGTTGGCCTCCACATCCAGTCTGGAAGCTTCTTTCAAGGAACAGCAGGGCAGGAAAGCCCTTGTAACCTCCTGCTTTCTCCTCACACCCCTCCTCCGGGGCACCCCAGCACACCCGTCCACTTCCTGTAGGGCTCCGGCTGCTGAGGGTGGTCGAGCTCAGGCCTGGCTTTCGTCAAACACCGCCCATCCCAAAGGCCACAGGCCCGTGCGGAGGAGGAAGGGGGTCAGGAGAGGGGGTGGAATTCTCCAGATTTTCTCCCAGCCTCCGAAGGGCCTCCAGAGAGCTGGTTATATAAGGTTTCTTTAAAAAAAAAAAAATTGTGGAAAGGAAATTTTTGCAAATATTAAGGAGTGCCACTCAGGGCAAATAAGGGGGCGAACACCCTTCAACAGACAGGACAGGTCCCGAGCCCAGGAACCCCAGGCGCTCCAGGTGGGCAGGGGTGCATCATCTCGTGGCCGCTGGTTCCCCGGGCCAAGCTCGGTGCCAGGCAGGAGGAGGCGCTCGGCAAATATTTGCAGATTTAGCGAATGAAATCAAGGGAAGAGAAGCCGAAAGGAGAAGAAATAGACCAGGGTTGGGGGTGAAGGGAGGGAGCCCAAGAGAGAAGACAGGAGGGTGGCTCCTGACTGGGAGGGGGCTTGGGCGGGGGGGGGGGGGTTGCTCAGGAATCAGGAAAACTGCTGAGTAAAAACTGTCTTTGAAAAGGCCCCAGATTATTCATCTAAGTCTTCATCTCGCTAAATTTCAGTTCAAGCTGCTGCAAATATTTGAAATGAGTAATTTCTCCTGATGAAGAGAGTCTGATTTTGATTCTGCCTAATTTATTTCGAGATTTAGGGGAGCACCCAGAGGAGAGGGGTTGAGCCTGTCGTCAAGCAGCGGCCACCCCCTCTCCCCCAAGCCGCCGCCTGGTCCTGCCCTGCCCCAACGTTGTGGTTCCGGGAAGAGGGGGGTGGGCTGTGTAGCTGGAGAAGGGGAGGAGCCCCCATCAGAGGGGCAGAATCTGAGCCAGGTGGCCCCAGGCCTCTGCCACCTCCTCTGGGCCTCCAGGCCTCTGGTCCACTCCGTCCCAGCTGCCAGCTCTGCCTATCACTCCCCTCCTCAAGTACCTTCAGTGGCTCCCTAGGACCCCCAGACTAATCATCCCTGAGCCCAGATTACTTCCCGGCCCCACCTCCTTCAAGGGCTTCTCCTCCTCCTCCACTTACCCAAGTGCCCCCAGGCCCTGGCACCTTCTCACACTCCACCGGGCACGAAGCAGACCCTGTTCCTCCTACAAGGCTTGAGCCCAACGTCACTTCTTCTGCGAAACCTTCCTTGTCCCTGGGAGAGGCAGGAGTCACGTGCGGCTCCCACCCTGCAGAGCCCTGGTCCCCTATGCGACCACCGTCTGGAGGCTTCCTTGCCTGCCTAAGCAGAGTGAAGGCCAGGGCCACGAGTGTGCCCGAGAAACGTGCAGGGGCAAGAATTCATCATAAAGGCACAACTGAAGAAGGGACAAGTGTACAAATAAACACGTATTAACACAGAGCCCACCCTGAACACAGAAGCAGCCACGGGGGTCCCTGGGAGAGGTCTGGCCTCGGCACCCCTCGGGGTCCACCTATCCAGACGTGGAAAAAAAGGCCCGGCTGTGGCCCTGGGACGCAGACAACTCAGGCACCTCAGCAGCCCCTCACCCGCGTGCAGAGGGGAGAGTGTGACTGGCTCAGGGCCATCTGTCCCCACCCACCGGGAGAAGGCCCCTCAGTGGCACCCAGCAAGCAGGCAGGAAACACTGGCTGAATGAATGGGAGGCTCCCTTTGCTTCTAGCATCGGAGTAAGGCACACGGGCCCGGGGGAGGCAGGCCTGGGTCTGAATGCTGGTTTTACCACTTCTTGGCCTTGAGCCCACATCAGGCCACCAGCCTGGGCCAGGGGGCTTCCAGAGTATCTGAGGTGCCTTCTGTCCTGGGGCCCCAGGACCCCACGGCCCTACCAACCAGAATAACGGTACCCGCCATTTGTTGAGCACTCTCCTGGCACCTGGCCGGTGCCAAGGCCCTTCCCACACCATGTGACCCCTGGGGGACCACCTTTGTGGCCCCCTTTCAAAGATGAGAAAACCGAGGTCCACAGAAGCAGAGCAACAGGTCCCAGTTCAGACTGGGAAAACACACACGCGAAAAATGAAGTCAGGAGAAGTGGAAAGAGCACTGGAATGTGAGCCCAAGGGCCTGGGTCCGGGCCAGCTGTGCCCCGGCAGGGAGACCCACAGCCTTGCGGGGCCACCTGCCTCCTGTCCGCAGCGGTGAGCCCACTGCCCCCACACTCTGGATCCAGCAACAGCCTACAAGGTGGGGAAAGGGGGCAGGACGGGGCAGAGCAAGCTCAGCCAGCGGACACCATGAGTCCTGGGGCCTCGAGACAGGAAGCCGAGACAGAGGCCGAGGTGTGCGGCCAGCAGGGCTGCGGGATGAGCTCGGGGGCTCTCAGCACGCAGTAGCTCTAGCAGTGGGGACGCGGCGGGCAGGCGTGCTGAGCGAGAGCCTGGGCGCCCCACGCTAGGTGCTTTCACTTGCATTTTCTCCTGGAAAGGAAAAGCAACCCGTGGGTGGGAGCAGAGGGAGCGTCATGGGTGTCAGTTCCCCGGGGGCAGCAGGCGACAGGCTTTACCCACATGAGCCACTGAGGCACGGGTTCGTTTCAGGCTGACCGGGCCCTCCGATGTGCCAGGCTCCGTCCTGGGAGTGGGGTTCAGGGCTGAGTAAGGGCAGGGGGGCCCTACCCTCGAGGATGAGCAGTGGGAGAGGTGAGACAACAGGCATCGTTCAGGGTGGACCCAGCATCGACTCCAAGGCCGATGGGGCTGGCGGCTCAGGTAGGAGAGAGCCCGCCACCGGGACCCAGCTTCTGGGGCAGAGGGGCAAAGCCTGACCCAGAACTCCGTCCTGGCCTGGAGACACCCAGCCCGGCTGTCTCCAGTCTTCCCGGCAAGGGCTGGGCTGGGCTTAGACCCCAGAGGGGAAAGGTTTGAGCTGGGTGAGTGGGTGGGATCCCATCCCCAACCACCCGGAATCCCAGATTTCAAGAGGCATATATTGCATAAGGGGAGGAGGTGGGGTGACGAGGAAATGCCTAGTTTAAAATGCAGGTTCCCAGGGCCCATCCCCAAAGGCTCTGATTCAGTCCATCTGGGCCTAGGCCCAGGAATCTGCATTTGACCACCAGCCCAGGCGACTGTGGTACAGCAGGTCTGGTGGGGGTCACTGCCCATCACTGCATGGTGGAGAGCCTGGGAGCTCTAGGGCCTGACAAACATGAGGGTGAGTCCACCTCCATCCCTTCCTTGCTGTGTGACCTTCAGCTAACTTTCTTTCTTTAAGATTTATTTATTTATTTGAGAGACAGAGAGAATGTGAGCAGGGGGAAGGGCAGAGGGAGAGGGAAAGAGAATCCTTAAGCACACTCCCCACTGAGCATGGAGCCCGGCACAGAGCTCGATCCCAGGACCCTGAGATCATGACCGGAGCCGAAATCAAAAGTCAGACGCTTAACGCTTAACAGACTGAGCCACCCAGGTGCCCCTTCAACTTTCTCTCTGCTGGTTAGTGCCCCATGTAGCCATTAAGAGAGGCGGGTGGGTGCAGGGTTTAAAAGCTCAGGCTCGGGCGCCTGGGTGGCTCAGTCGGTTAAGTGACTGCCTTTGGCTCAGGTCATGGTCCCAGGGTCCCGGGATCGAGTCCCGCATTGGGCTCCCTGCTCAGCAGGGAGTCTGCTTCTCTCTCTGACCCTACCCCCTCTCATGCTCTCTCTCTATCTCATTCTCTCTCTCAAATAAATAAAATCTTAAAAAATAAAAAATAAATCTCTGTAATGTTTAGGGTCGTTTAGAATGGTGCTTCTGGGGGCGCCTGGGTGGCTCAGTTGGTTAAGCGACTGCCTTCGGCTGAGGTCATGATCCTGGAGTCCCAGGATCGAGTCCCGCATCGGGCTCCCTGCTCGGCAGGGAGTCTGCTTCTCCCTCTGACCCTCCCCCCTCTCATGTGCTCTCTCTCATTCTCTCTCTCTCAAATAAATAAATAAAATCTTTAAAAATATATATAAATAAATAAATAAATAAATAAAAGCTCAGGCTCCCCAATCAGACTACCTGAGCTTCTGTCCCACCTCTGCTGCTCACTGTCTGTGTGAACTTCCTTGGCCTAATTAACCCCTCTGTGCCGTAGCTCCTTCAACCGCACAGGGGAGGAAATAATAGCACCTGCCTCCCAGGACTGCTAATGGAAAATACATGAGGGCCGGCACCCACTACACACTCACTGAACTATAGCTCCTGTGCATGAAGTCTCAACTTCCCAGCAATCTCCCTGCACCTGCCTCATCCCCACAGCAGCCAGAGGGATCCTATTAAAGCCTGTGCTCCATCGGGGCACACCCCAACTGACGATCCACAATGGCCTCCTGTCTGGTAGCCCTCTTTCTCACTGTGGCCAACCGGCCCCAGCTGCTCAAAGTCCAGCCCATGTCTGCACCCTCAGCCTGCCCACCACCCGGCCCCTGGCTCACTTGCCCATCCTCTGCCAGAAACTCTCCTTGGTTTGGCTCCTTCTCATTCAGGTATCAGTCCAAATGTTGATACCTTATTGCGTGCTGACTTTTGTGTTTGATTAAAATATTTGTATTTGCTTATATCTTTCTAAAGAAACTCTGAAAGATTCTTTAAAAACTAAGAACAGTGATTATTGGGACGGGGAACCAAACAGATAGGGGTGGAGGGAGAAAGGGGCTTTTCATCTTCTGGGTTTTGAATTGCGTGAGTGGCTCTATATGTTCACCAAAAAAAAAGTGTATTTTTTTTAAAGATTTTATCTATTTATTTGAGAGAGGGCGAGTACGAGTTGGGGGGGATGGGGAGAGAGAGCAGGGAGCCCAATGCAGGGCTTGATCCCAGGACCCTGGGATCAGCACCTGAGCCAAAGGCAGACACGTAACCGACTGAGCCACCCAGGTGCCCCCCAAAAATGTATTGATAAATGGATGAATGCATTTTTTTATATGTCAGCCTTCTTAGAGAGGTTCTCCCTGACCAAACTTACTAAAGCTGCCCCTTTTCCATCACTCTTCACCCTTCACCTGCTTTATTTTTCAAATCAAAGTGTGTATTTGATTGATTATTGTGTGTCCCTCCCATTGGAACATCATCCTATGAGCACAGAGCCATGGCCCAACCCAGGGCCATGTCAGAGGTGCTTAATGGAGCCCTGTGGAAGGAGTGAAAATCATCACAGAGCTACTCCCACCTGCCTAACTGGGCACACCTCCACACACTCTCCAGGGCCTACTGATGTTACACCGAGGACTGAACCTGGCATACCATCATTGCTCAATAAACGTTTATTGAATGAATAAAAGGCCTGTTAACAGATGGATACATAACTTCCAGAGGGACAAGCAAAGCTTTTTAAGAGGAAAACTTAGAAGTATTAGGCACAGAGAAGATGCTCAAAACATGGTAGCTACTATAATTATTACCAAAGTGTAAATGACTTACCTGGGCTTATTTCTGTGAGCCGGAGGAAGAAGTGAAGCCAGGAGAACCCTGATAAGAGGGAGGAAACAATTCCAGAGACACAAAATTCTTCTTTAGAGTTTTTCTCCAATAATTGTATCATTTCCCCTTACTTTTCAAAAAGTCTCTGCTGTAAGGTCTCTGCTTGCCCACCCTCCCTGCTGTAAAATGTCCCAGACAGTTTGAGGGCCAGAGAAACTATAGTTTTGGACCAGTGGTCAGGAAGCCCACAGCTCCCCAAGAGTCCAAGGGTGCCACACCTAGGTGCTAGGGGTGGGAGAGAGCATCCCCATCCTCCAACCCCACCCACCCCAGGGCTCCTCCAACCCCTCCTCCCAGCAGCCCTGAGAGGCCACAGACGTGCAGTGGAAAGAACTCGGCCTCTGGAATCTGACAGCCCTGGATCCTGTCCCAGCTCCTGACCTCCCAGCACATTCTATGCCCCAGTCACCTTACCCACTTCTTGATATGCCTGCTTTTATTTCGTCCTCACAACATCTTTAGGAAGCAGCTGTGTTGCTGCTGAATTTCAGAGCTGGGGAGGTCGAGGCCAGAGAATCACGTTCCCTCAATTACCCTGTAAGAGTGTCCCAAGCCAGGAGTCACACCAGCCTGTCTGTGCTCCCCCTGCCACCCCTCACTGCCTTAGGCAGGTGCTCCCACTCTGTGACCCTCAGTTTCCCTATCTGTAAAATGGGGGACTGGAGGCTTCTTTTCAAATTTATTGTGAACATTTAAGAACTTGAAAAGGGACTCACGGAGGAGTCTGACCCAGGAGGGGCTCATCAAAGGTTTCCTTCCCTCCCTGTTTCACTGGGCAGCCTCGGGCAGGTCACCTCCCTGGCCTCCCGCATGAGAGGGATGAGGATGGCCAGGGGGACACAGACAGGGCTACTGGCAGGACCTGCGAGGGCCCAGGGCTCAGCAAGCGGGCCCGGGGAGGGGCTGGGGCCAGAGAGAGGGGCAAAGACCGGCCCACCTGCCCACCGGGCACACCTGGTCACCACAGAGACGTGCCCCCGCTCCCTAGCAGAGTCCCCAGGGAGCTCACAAAGGAGGGGTGGAGAAGGAGAGGAGAGCAACCCCCTCCCATCTTTTGTTTCTTCCTTGCAGTGTTGTTTTGGGGGTTTTGTTTTTTGGGGTGTGTGTGTGTGTGTGTGTGTGTGTGTGTGTGTGTGTGTGTTTTAATCCAGCCACTCTGTGGTCCTGTCCGGGACCTCCTGCCTCCTCCCACCTCCTTACTGGTGACTGTCACACGACAGACATTTTTAGTGGTGACAGCTGGCCTTGTGGAACTCGGCTCGAGTACGGGAATGGTTTTTAAAAAAAGAGTGAGCCAAACCACCGCCACTTTAAATAGCAATGCAGCAGGGAGGAGAGGCGGGCTAGCGCGTGCAGGCAGGAGCTCCGGCTGGGTTTCCACGGGGCTGGTGGAGGAAGGGCCCAGCCCAGGGGACCTCGGGGCTCATCCTTCTCACCTCTGCATTTGCCCGAGGGAGAAACTGAGGCCCCCCGGAGGGCGGAAGTCACACCCAAGATCACAGGCTTGTGAGCGGAAGGGCTGTGACTCCACCCAGGTGTGTGCGGGCGACCCACAGCACCAGGCTCTCGGCTGCGATAAGGCCCCGCCTCCCAACGCCACCTGCCCTTTCCTGAACTTGAAGAGAGCCCATCGATGGGGGTGATGGTGACTGCTTCTGAGACCAGGGCTCCCAGCTGGGGGCACCATGAGGGCAGAGGTCCCTGGGCCTGAGACAGGCCCTGTCTTTGCAGGAACTCAGGTACCATTTGCAAAGGAAAGACAGGTACGGGCTAGGATTCCAAGGGGTCCTCCTGCATCCCCTGGGCCCTCACATTTGTAGCCTATTCAGCTCCCCTCGGTCCAGTCACACACCGCGTCCTGGCCACTTCTGTTCCCATGAATTCCCTTTTGTAGCTTGAACCTGACCATCATGGGGGTACTGACACCTTGGAAATTGGCAAATGCTACAAATCAGGGCTTCTCTTCTCCTGAGAACGCTGGGGGCGATCCATTGACCAGCACACCGCTGTCCAGGCCCAGGCACCCAGTTGTACCCATGGTTTCACCAACATCATAAGCACCAACTCTGGAGTCCAAGAGACCCAGGCTTCAGCTTTGCTCCTTCTGCAATTCACTGTGTGAAGTTGGGCAGGTCATTCCACCATGCTGAGCCTCCATTAGCTCCTCCATAAAATGGGTATATAAAGGGTAGCAGGATAGACCTCACGCTGAGAATAAAGGAGGAAAGACGTGTAGAGTGCTCAGCCCAGGATGCGCCTTCATGAATGGTGGCCGTTCTTATCATCACTGAGGGGATGTGGGCTCCCCGTCCCTCCACCATCCAGCCCTCCTCCTTCTAGACTCTGCCCTTTGCTTCTGTCATCACTAACGGGCAGCTGATGCTCAGAGCAGAAGAGCACACGTGGTTGGGTCTGAGCAGGGAGGAGGGAGGACGAGGCCCCCCTTCCTTGCTCGGGACATTGCATTTCTCTTTGTGTCACCTAAGAACAAATTCCCCAAGGCTGTCCGACCTCCCCATTCCCTACGCCCTTCCCTGCTTTGTCTCCACGACACTTACCTTCAACGCTGTCGGGGTTTGATGCCCATCTCGCCCCCAGAATGTGGGCTCCATGAGGACAGAGCATTTGCTGCGACACCTGGGGTCTAGACAGATGCCAGGCACATCAGGAGTGCTCGATCCACAACCGCTGAGGCACGAATACACCCTGAGGGGGCATCTCAGCCGCCCGACAGTTTCTCCATGCCACCTGGAAAATTGTGGGTGGGGGATGTTCACAATTCGAAAGGGAAACATGAAGCAGAAGGGGAAAGAAGAAAGAATAATCCTGCATCGCAAGAGGGAACCTCGGTTTACACACTACCTCCCCACGCACCCTCCTCTACGGAGAACCCACTGCATGTATCTCTTTGGATCCTCCCAACACCCTGGGAGATGGATTTTTTATTATCTCCCCTACTCCACTTTACAGAGGACACTGAGGCCCAGAGAGGTGAATCCACTTGCCCAAGGTCACACAGCACTAAGTGTGGGAAACCCAGAACCTGTGATCTTGCTATTAACAACCTATTAAAAATCTCCAGGGGCTCCTGGCTGGCTCAGATGGTAGAGCATGTGACTCTTGATCTCAGGATCATGAGTTTGAGCCCCACACTGGGCATGAAGCCTACTTAAAAAAAAAATAAAAATAAGGAGCACCTGGTGGCTCAGTCGGTTAAGCATCTGCCTTCAGCTCAGGTCATGATCGCAGGGTCCTGGGATCGAGCCCTGTGTCTGTGGGGCTCCCTGCTCAGTGGGTAATCTGCTTCTCCCTCTCCCTCTACCCCCTCCCCACCTGTGCTCACTCTCTCAAATAAATAAACAAAATCCTTTTTAAAAAAATAAAAAATAGGGCACGTGGGTGGCTCAGTTGGTTAAGTGACTGCCTTCAGCTCAGGTCATGATCCTGGAGTCCCAGGATCGAGTCCCACGTCGGGCTCCCTGCTCAGCAGGGAGTCTGTCTCTCTCTCTGACCCTCCCCCCTCTCATGCTCTCTATCTCATGCTCTCTCTCTCAAATAAATAAATAAAATTTTAAAAAAAATAAAAAATAGGGGCACCTGGGTGGCTCAGTCGTTAAGCATCTGCCTTCAGCTCAGGTCATGGTCCCAGGGTCCTGGGATGGAGCCCCGCATTGGGCTCCCTGCTCCGCGGGAAGCCTGCTTCTCCCTCTCCCACTCCCCCTGCTTGTGTTCCCTCTCTGTCTCTCTCTCTGTCAAATAAATAAATAAATAAAATCTTTTTTAAAATTTTTAAAAATAAAAAATTTTAAATCCCCAGCCCTGCATCAGGGCAAAGAGAGAGAACCTTCTTTACCACGAGGGAGATTCAGAAATTAAACAGGCTGGTATGTGAAGCAGGGAGCTCCTCATCGCGGGAAGGATTCAAGAAGAGGCTGAGCAACACTTAGAGAGGGACAGGGGGACCGGGTTCCTGCACTGGGTGGGGGTGGGAGTGAATAGACGGACTGGAGGGCCTCAGGGTTGAGACACTTGAGTCTGGAGATCCATATCCCAGGCTGTGAGCTGTGGTGAGTGTTTCTGTAAATAACACAGTTACTCTACATTTCGAGGCTTGGAAAAGAAAAAACAATGCTAGGAAGTTAAATAAATGTATCAGCATGTCATAGTATACATTGAGAAACACATTTTTACATCACAAAATCTTTGGTTAATAATATCTAATGTTTTTAGAGTGACCGTATGCCAGACTCTAACAAATATTTTAATATATTAAATATATATTTTTAAATGTTACCTTATTTAATCCCCACAACGATCCTGGGCAGCAGGTACTCCCATGATACCTGTGGATCGGTCAGGTTTCTGCTACAACACTGCTGTGTAACAAACATCCCCACCAATCCAGAGGCTTGCCACGTCTCTCCTCCCCTCTCATAGGTCTGCAGGTCAACGGTGCTGGCTCTGCTTCCTTCTGTGGGTCGACTGGATTTAGCTGGGCCACAGGTCAAATTCAGGTCGACTCCACGGGTGTCTCCTTCTAGAACCATCCGCTCCCTGGGCCATGTGTTCTCTGCAGCACATGGTAGAAGCTTAAGCAGCCAGGCCAAAAACCCAACCATATTTCAGCCAATGCTTCTGTCACATCCACTGATATCAAATTGACCAAAGCAAGTTACGTGGCCAAGCCCTCACTTTGGCAGGCGAGGGAAACGGACCCTGCCCGCGCCAGAGGGAGGGACCGCAGCGTCACAGGGTGAAGAGCATAGATGTATAATTCCCATTACAGGAAAGAGTGAAAAGTTACGAGTAATAATGTCCAATCTGCCCCCAACAGGTTTCACAGGTGAGAACTCAGGGCCTCACCTGAGGACACAAGTGACCCAAGGTGACGCAGCTGGCTATTGTGATTTCCCCCGGGATTCTGGCCCAGGATGTCTGACGTCAAAGCTGCTCTGGCCCACAGCTCGTCAGGCAATCCTGGTACATAAGTGGGGTTCAGGAAACGATGGGTTTGTTATCCAAGTGCACACTTCAAACAGGTGCGGTTTATTGCACGTCCGTTATATTCAATGAAACGCTGACGTTATTTCTTAAAAGAAACTTTTTAAAAAAGGAAAAAACAACAGTCAGTAAATGAAATGTTGGTACCTGGGACAAGACTTGATTCTGAAGAATATCAGCAAAGGGCTGGCGCTCGGCATCCCCGGGGAGAACCTGGCAGGCTCCAGGGACCTCCGTGGGGGGCCGGCCATGGAGAGGGGAGGTCAGGCCTACACGGTGTGGCTGCCCTGGGAGATTTCAGCAGGAGGCCTGGCTCTCCTCAAGAACCAAAGGCTGAGAGAGAGAGAGATTGGCCAGCCTGAAGATGCAGCAGCGGGGTGGAAGGGGAGAGGCAGATTCAGTGCTCCCTGGGGCCTACGCCGATTACCCCTCACACGGAGGCAAAGCGGGTGATGCCCCCGAGCCAGCCAGTGAGCACAGGAGGTCTATGGGATTCAGGGGAGAGGGTCAAGGCTCCAAGGTCAGCTCCAATATGACATCCGCCCTTTCATCTTTTGGTTTGCAGAAGTGATGGGGTGGGGGGTGGAAGGGAATAATGGGGTTCCAGCCCTGGGCCCCTGGGGCCCTTTGCTTTGTGACCCAAAATTCAAGTTACGTGATGTCTCCGAGCCTCAGCTTCCAACCAATTTATTTTTTAAAAGGTGTGGGGGGAGCCCTGGGTGGCTCAGTCGGTTAAGCATCCAAGTCCGGATTTCGGCTCAGGTCATGATCTCAGGGTTTCAAGATTGAGCCCCATGCTGGGCTCTGCAATGGGCGTGGAGTCTGCTTGGGATTCTCTCCCTCTCCCTCTGCCCCTCCCCACCTCTCTCTTTCTCTCTCCCTCCCTCTCAAAAAAAAAAAAAAAAAGGCGGGGGGAGATGTTCAATAAAAGGTAAGACTCGAGTATCTGCCCTACCTTCCTAGACGCCGTACCCCCTGGTGCCCAAACACACAGCAGGAACATCCCAACTAATGGGCGAAGAAGGAGTGACAGCATCATGCTATCCCCACCGGGCAGCCTGTCGTGAATTCATGCGCTCAGGTCGTGATGGGCGACTGGCTGCTGACCTCCCAAAAAAAGAGAAAGCAGAGGGTATTGTGCCTGGTGAGGAAACACCCCACACCCGTGAAGTTGTCGAACCAGAACCAGCGAGCCCGAACCAGGACAAGCCTCTAGACCCAAATGGCAGCTCACGGGAAATGCAGGGAGCACAGGCACGGTCAGAAAACACAGTGGGGACCCAGCCAGCCAAGTCCAGCCCGAGGGAGACTCTCCGGGACAAATCAATTGCAAGGAAAACAACACGGGGTCGAGGAGCCTATTTAAGAAGCGATTTAAAACACTTACCGATCTCCATGTGTGGCCCTTAATTTAGATTCTGGTTCAAATACAAATCATTCTCTAGGAATGCATGTTGTATATATGTCATATAATATGCAATTACATATAAAATACATAAAAACAATTATAGATTAAATGTCTAGCATATGAATACGCTAAATACTATCTGAAAAAGATATGTGTTTATGTTTTAAATATAAACAGAGGCCACTGGAAATTTGATGACACCACCAATGGTGTGTGAAATATATTTACACTTAAAAGAAATGCAATGATATTGATTGGGGTTTGGGAGCTATTATAGCTACGTGTTACATTTTGAAAGGCCTTGATTTCTCGAGCTGCATACTGACGTATCTCCAGATTAAAAAAACATAACGGCTGGGAGTTGCTTCAAAGTAAATCAGAATGGGGATGGGAAGCACTGGGGACAGAGGTGAAGGGATCTGACTGGGAGTGAGTGTTGGCGCCCCTAGGTGACGGGCACCCATGTTCATTATACTCTTCTCTCCGATTCTGGTAAGTGCTTGGAAAGTTACATCATGAGAAGGTGCAAGTTCCCACCATTAAGGGGCACCTGGGTGGCTCAGTTGGTTAAGTCTCTGCCTTCGGCTCAGGTCATGATCTGAGTCCTGGGATCGAGTCCCACATCGGGCTCCCTGCTCAGTGCGGAGTCTGCTTCTCCCTCTCCCTCTGCCCCTCCCCCTTCTTGTGCTCTGTCTCTCTCTCTCTTTCTCAATCTAATTTAATCAAATCTCAATTTAAATCTTTTAAAAAATAAAAATAAATGTAGGGCACCTGGGTGGCTCAGTTGGTTAAGCGACTGCCTTCGGCTCAGGTCATGATCCTGGAGTCCCTGGATCGAGTGCCGCATCGGGCTCCCTGCTCGGCAGGGAGCCTGCTTCTCCCTCTGACCCTCCTCCCTCTCATGCTGTCTCTCATTCTCTCTCTCTCAAATAAATAAAATCTTAAAAAAATTTTTAAAAAATAAATGTAGAAAGGGTTTTTTTTTCTCCTGATTTTTTTATGGTGGTAAAATACACATCACATCACATTGGCCATCCTGACCATTCTTAAGTGCACAGGCAGTGGCGGCATGAGGACATTCACACCGTCCGTCCCCAGAACTCTTTTCTGCTTGCAAAACTGCAATTCTGTCTCCGTTAACCCCCGGCAACTGCCCTTCTGCCTCCGACCTCTAGGAACCTGATGACCCTCGGTAGCCCACACCAGTGGGATCACACAGGATTGGTTCTTTCGTGACTGGCTTACCTCACTTAGCATCACGTCCTCAGGGCTCATCTCGAGGAGGCAGTGAGAGTCAGAATCACCTCCCTTTTGAAGGCTGACTAATATTCCGTCGTACGGATAGACATACCACGTTGCGCTTGTCTGTTTCTCCACTGGGGGACTGTTTCCACATTTTGTGGGCTGTTTCCGCATCTTGACTCTTATGAGACATGCTGCCGCGAACCTGGAGGACCAGGCATCCGTCTTGTCTATGTTTGTCTGAGATCACTGCAGCGGCTGTCCTTTCCAAATCAGAAGTGGGAGCTCAGGACCCACTGTTCCCACCACATTCAAAATAAAATACATCGAGCACTCAAGGTCAGGCGCTGTGCTGGATACACGGATACCACACTGAGCCAGATGGATGTCCTTGACCGTGGTGGCCTTCAGGGCTGGGGGACAGGGCCAGCGCAGCCTCCACTTTCTGGGGCTCTGGCAGGAAGGGGAGCTGAAAAAGGGGACAGGGCTCATCAAAGGGTATCAAGTTCACCAGCCAAGCAGAGGGCAAGGGCAGAACCATCAGGGGTCACCTCTGCTTTAATAGAAGCTAAGCCCGCAAGCAAACTTCTGGGGTGAGCTGGGGTGTCTCCCTCTCCTCATTGTTCTACTCAGTGCCCAGGAAACATGGTGGTTCTTGAAGTGGTAAGGGCTTCTCTTCAGAACCCAGGAAAGCTCGGGCAGTGCCTTCCCTGCACTCACTGTGAGCCCCCGCATGCCAAGACCTGCGTTTCAGATTTCTGCTCTCAGGGGGCTCTCTGGGAAGAGCCAGACACACCGATGGCAGGGCAACAAAGAGTGCCACGATGAGTGAGTGCAGGCCCAGAAAGGGCCCCAATCTCCACTGAAAGGGGGGACCTGGGCCTCCAGGGACTCAGAAGGGAGGGTGGCCCCGGTTCAGTGTGAGTCTGAGCCCCCAGAAGAGAGGCTGGGGGGGGGGGGCAGGGCCAGAGAAGGAAGAGCCTGTTAGCAAAGGAGAAGAGTCTGGATTTCACCCAGGGGCAATAGAGAGCCATTGAAGACTGTTCGATAATGCCCTCAAAGTTTCCATCACTCTGGCTGCTAGGGTGAACATGGGAGATGGGAGAGGGCAGGCTGGGGGAGGGCAGAGAGGTCGGAGGGTCCCACAGCCATCAGGCAGTGTCTCCATCCCCGTCCTGGGAACTGCCTGCAGGGCTAGCCCCCACCCCCCACACACCCCGGAAACTCCAGAATTCTCCAGGGCTTCGTCTTTGGCCTCCACCCCCACCTCCTGCCAAGGTGATCAGGAGGACATGGCTGAAAACGCAGAGCCCCAGAAGAACCCACATGGGCCTGAGTGGTTAAGAACTTGGGACAGAAGTCAGAGAGACCTGCTGGCCCCTTAGTGTTTGCGAAGCCTCGAGAAGGTTGCCACCACTCTGGGCCTCAGTTTGCTCACCTGTTAAATGGAAATATGCACACTTTTCCCCTACAGGGAGGTGAAGAGATCCAATGAGAAATAAGCACCAAGTGCTAGCACAGTGCTTGCTGGATAAATGTTGGTGACTGATTATCAGTAGTAGTACTGAGTATTACCATTCCATATGGCCCAACAGTCCCTAAAAGCCCAACCCTTCCCCTCCCCACCCCCAGCAGCAGGGTTCAAGCGTTCCTGGTCTTCTCTACCCGCCTTTTTCTGATTACTTGTGCTCTTAGTCTCTAACAGGTGAAATCCTGCCTGTGCCTCAAAGCCCTGCACAAAAGTCACCTCCTCTGGAAAGCCTGCCGGGATTCCCCCTCCCCCACAATGCAGGAAATTCTCTCACCTCTGTGGCAGCTCCTGGCTTCCCATGCCATGAAATCTTGTGTCACCTTGTCACCTGTTCCTTCCAACTGGGAGGGCTGGTATGGAACAAGAGTTGAGCAAACATGGGATGGAAGGGTGGAAGATGGACAGACAAATGGGTGAAACATGTTTTCTGCATCAGTTAGAGCTAGTTTCGGGAATAGAAACCCAACTCAAACTGCCAAAGCAGATAGGCGGGCTCAGGCAAGGCTGGATCCAGGTGTTCAAATGATATCATTTCTTTTTCTCTCTCTTGGCCCTGCTCTCTACTGTGCTGTCTTCATCTTTGCCCAGACTGTCCATGTGGTTGACCCTGGCAATCCTGGCCTTATATCCTAGGAGACTAGACTGCCAGCAGAAAGAGAGCCTCACCTTCCCAGGACTGCCTTGCCCTGGCAGGCCTTGGGTCACAGGATGGCACCCACCAAGCCCTCTGGCCAGGAGGATGGCCAGGCCAGGATCACATGCTCGTCCCCAACAGAGGATGGGGGAACCATGTGACCTAGAGAACTGACGGGCAGGGCGGGATACTAGGCAGGTAAAAAATACAGCTCACTCTCCCCCCCCACACACACAATGTTCCCAGTCTCACGCCCCGGGGGCAGACCTGCAGGCTCCTTTTGGGGAATGTGAAGGGTAGACAGGGGGCCCTCTTCAGAGAACTCAGCCCCAAAGAGGAAAGCAACAAGTAAACACATCACCAGGAGCCACACTTCCATCAGAGCCAAAGCAGATGGCCCACAGAAGGTGTCCGCGGAGGAGGCTGGCCCCTCGGCCCGGGGCGGTAGTCAAGGAGGGCTGTCCGGAAGAGGAGATGCCATGGCCTTGCCTCCCAGCCCTCCTCCCCCAGGAATACCTGCCCCCCCCCCCCGGGCAGCACCCCAGATCCAGAGAGAGAAGGCCTGACTTGGCCCTGATTCTGGAGGAGGGTTTCGGTGGGCGCACGAGGGAAGGACGTCGCACACAGCCCACAGTGCGTGCTCGGGGCAGTAACGACTGGAGTCAGAGGCCACACAAACATTCCAAAGCAGCTCTCCCTTCTTCCTCCCTCCCAAGAACAAGGGCAGGACAGTGACAACAAGAAATGCCCCGGATTGGGCACGATGCAGGCCCCATGCAACGCTGGGACACGGCTGATGTCATCTCTATCTTACAGACAAGGACCCGAGGATCAGAGAAGGAGCGTCACCCGCACAGTGCCAAACACTAAGACTGAGCTGGGACTGGACCCCAGGTCTGGGTGTTCGCAGAGCTGTGTCCCCAACACTTTGCTGCTTCCTTCCACTCTAGAGCAATGGTCCCCACACTCGGATGCCTGGCACCTCTGCCTGGAGCTGCTGAAAATCCCATCTTCCTGGGCCCCTCCTCAGACCCTCTGCAGCAGGGTCTCGGGCCCGGGGAATCTGCAGTAAACACGCTCCCGGAGATTCCAACACAGCCAGACCTACAGGCATCTGGGAACACCATTTGGTTTCCAGAAGATCAGCCCAGAAATCCCACCAAAGGGGCGAGGATTCAGGTGCAGATAATTCCCATTCCTCAGAAGCCCAAGAGTCCCACTGGGGAAGGGACCCCGGAGGTGAGGGACAAGTGCCACCCTTGTCCTTCCCTGCCCCTCCTCGTGGCCCCACATACCCTAAGTTTTTAACTAAGATATTCCAGTCCTTCCCCCTGTTCAAACACAAATGTACAGTCCCCAACAGGACTGGGGCGGGGGGCAGGGGGTCCTCCTGCCAACACTTTCTGTGTGTTCCAATCTCTTCATGGAAGAAGAGGCCCCCAAGCCTCTAGAGAGATTTTCCCCTGCCTTCTGAATTGCATTTGTGAAGGGGTAATTGATTTGCTTCCGCATTCTTTATTAATCAAAGACTAACCACAGCCAGCCAAGCCTCTGATCTAAGGAGTGGGGCCACACCGAGAGGGTGCCATCCTTACCCAGAGCACAGACACCCACCACTTCTGATGGGGCATGGAGCCTTCATTCCTGCTGAGCTTCCTTAAGTGTCCAGAACACTCCCCCGAAGTTGAAGGGCCCAGCACACCAGGTAGGAAGCTGGGGTTACTGGCAGGGAGGACAGATGAGTTGGCCAAGAACAATTTGCCAAGGTTACCGTGGAAGCAA